AAAAAGAGGCTGACCAAGGCAGACATCGGCACTCCCAGCAACTTCCAGTGAGTCACATACTTCTTTTAATTACTCTTTATCACATTGTAGGAGTCTAAATGCTTTAGCTGTCATTTAGATTTAGACAATGAGGCTGAGCTAGGTTCAGAAATTGTCTTTTGACCGTGTGGTCATGCTTTTGATTATTCTTTGTTACTTTGTTCACTTAACATCTTAAACTTTAACTTAAGTACAGACTTTTATACTTTAAACGCGTCAAAGTAGCCTAGCGACTTAATTTATTGGAAATTGAGCCACCACAGATATGTCCTACCGTGATGCATATTGTGCCGTATGGTTTGTGTGATCCTGCAAACTTTGAATGCATTCTGGCTATAGAGTGGCGAAGTCCCTCCCCTTCCGGTGGACCTCCATGGGACCTTATTTCGAAAAAATTATGTATTGAAGTCAATGGAGAGAGAAAGATTATTATTATTGCAAGTCAACAAAAAAAAATGTGTCGTAAAACTGTGAAGTAACACATTTGTTTGTGTGAAACGCTCAATGAGCTACATATCTGGTCTCGCAGAACAACACACGTCACCAAAATGGCCGTCACTACTGTCTTGTCAACAAAACGATTGACTACCCTCACTATCACCACAATGAAACACGTCCAGAAGAATGTCATGCAAAGCTGCCTCCCTGCCTTCCTTTGATTCTCTCTGAACTGCCTGGTCTTTTTAATGTTTAATGTCAACCGTTTGTGCAGATAGCACATGGAAATAATTTTTTAAGATTGACAAACATCATATGTGTAATTCGTGGCACAATTCAAACGGGATCGAAAGATAATCTTTCTCTCTCCATTGACTTCAATGCATCATTTTTCCGAAATAAGGTCCCATGGACCGGAAGTAGATGGGCGTGACTTCGCCACTCTATAGATGAGAGCAACACAACCTGGTACTTTCCCTCTGCGCAAGGCCACGCCCCTTTTTGTGAGAAAACACTCGCTGTCATTTGATTGGCGGTAAATACAGATTATGACGTTTTCGCCTATTACATCGAAAAATGTATAATACTACACCTTTTGTATCTACAAGGAGCCCAATGATGAGGGTCAGACAGGCAAATAATTGAACAATGTTATTCGACGATCTGCGTCAATTTATAGTTTAATAGATATCATTTAAATGAATAGAGGATCGACGTCCGGTCAGTTTGGCAGGCAGCAGGCTTACATACTGTCCTTTTTTTCTTGGAGGAAGTAAAGAAAATCCTTATCCTGGATTATTTATGTTGTTTAACGTGCAATACACTGCACAGCAGCTTTAATACATGATGATAGCATTAAAATGATGATTTAAATAGTGTTAATCTGTTCAGTTCAAGTCACAACTGCAGGTTACACACAGTACAACAGCTCCATGACTGGAGGTCGTTGAGTTTATTCTACTTTCTTATATGACTCCTATATCCCATGCCCATATAAGGACTGGTGATCTGGACGAGGCTTTAATCCAGTCGGGAGTCCTTTAGATTCTAATCCTATACAGTGTGAGGAATTATTGGTAACGCAGGAATATCGGAGCGATGCTTTCAGGAATAGTCCGAGGCAGCTTTCATATTCTTTTAAGCGATTCTGCAGGTTACCACTGGGCCCTCGGGAATTCAAAAACAGAGGAGTGTATGGCTGCAATGTATTGAACTTCTACTTGTGTGTTTCTTCCCTATTTTGGGGATATGTGCTGCATTTATCTTCACCTTCTCACCAGCTCTCCCTTTCTCTTCTCTCACAGGCACATCGGGCACGTAGGATGGGATCCAAATACCGGTTTTGATGTAAGTGTAAAAACAAGAATATATTTGAAATGTGTTCATATGCGTGTCTCACACATCGTATGCTGCCTCCAGATGTTCCTAAAACTTGGCCTCTTGGTGATCTGATCCTCAGTCACACTTCCCTCATACAGACAGACTCTTCAAATTGTATTTCGCTTCCAAAAATATTAAACGGAGCTGCGCAGCCAAGTCCTCATCAGGAGGGTTACACAAGGATATATTTGAGAGGGAAGAGACTCAACCTGCATCTGCATAATCCATGGACTCGCTCCCAAAAAAAGCATCATCAGTAATTATAGCGTGCAGGATGATGAGCACCAGATCACACGGGTCAGAGGACTTACCGTCAGTAAATGAAAAAGATGAATTCAGATGATTTCATAACTTAAAGCTTTCAAGGACTGATTTAATTGGAAGGCGTCAGTCAGTGTTTCCGCCAGACCAGGGCTGAGAGCGCGTCCAACTAGTAGGGATGGGATTCGTTAAGGTTTTAACGGTACTACTACTTTTATCGATACCGCTTATCGATCCGGTCTTTTAACGGTACTCTTATTGGTTCTTTAGGAGACAAAAAATTAGGTAAACTAACTAAACACATTGTGAACAAAACTAACATTGCTTTTTATTTAAATTAAATAAATAATGTTTCAAATATAAAGAAACAACAGTGTTTTAACAAATGGTATTAAGCAATCTGATGACAGAACTGTAAACAGAATAGCTGAAACTTTAACAAAATAAATAACTCAGTTACCTCTAATCATTAACCCATGTTTGTATAATGGAGTTAGCTCCGTGTGTTGCTGCTAGTATACATAACACCTGACGTGGAAACGTTACTCGTGGATGGGGCTACAGAGCTGCTAGAAAGACAGTCGAACCGTCTGATAATGATTTCTTCCTTGGCTCACAAAGAAAATCCCTGGTAGTGTTGCCCCACGCCACCAGGGGGCAGCATAACAGCTAGTATTATTATTGTAGTTTTTTAAATAATTTTTTGTTTATATTCTAGTTTATTGAAAATCTACTTTCATGAAGTTGTCATCACAAAGGATTCACAAATACTTTTTTTAAATGTCTGATTCTGATTTAACGGCACAGAATCAGCTGATGAGTTTTTCCTCTCAGTTGAAACAAAGTTTGATGTTAATACAGTTTGGAGCAAACGTGCCCCAATGAGAATGATCCATTGTATCTCTGTTAGTTACATTTTAGACCATTTTTTTTAATAATTCAGTGCAATAATCCAAAAATCTGGTTTCCTCCTTCAGTTGAATAACTTGGACCCAGAGCTGAAGAATCTGTTCGACATGTGCGGCATCTCCGAGGCTCAGCTGAAGGACAAGGAGACCTCCAAGGTCATCTACGACTTCATCGAGAAGAAGGGA